GGGGGGGGGGGGGGGTGGGGGGGGGGGGGGGGGGGGGGGGGGGGGGGCTACGGTGAGTAGTTAAAAAAGTCCTGAGGCCCTTCAGCAGAGCCGGGTCTGTATTAGAATTTTTCATCGGGAATGACTGTGTTGAAGGGATGATCCCAGAACGTCGTGGTGATTCCGAAACCTGCAGAGAAAGACGACCAATGAGACCACATTAAGATGATGATGTCACTTTAACATCACTTCAATTAATTTTTTTATTTTAACCTACGTGAATCTTCACACATTTGTATTGAATTTCAAGCGTGGTTACACCCCCTACTGTCCAGTCATCGCGACTCTTAACGTGGTTTTACTCCCTAGTTCTCACCTGCCCTCTGGTGCTCAAAGTGGTGTTTTACATGGTAGGCCTTCAGGCCGTACATGTACGACCCTCGCTTCGGCGAGCCGTAGTGAAGGTAGTAGTGAATCATGTCGTAGACCACGTAGCCGCACAGTCCTCCGACAAACAAACACTTCCCGATGATCTCTGGGAAAGCGTACTGAAGGATGGCGTAGAAACTTCCAACCATTAGGGAGGCCAGGCCTGGAGGGAAGACCAGCCTGGAGCCGTCGAACGGAGACTGAGGGACAGGAGACAAGTCAACATTGTCACCGAGCTGTTATTTCACTGAGACGTGAAAAAAAAAAAAAAAAACAGGGCGAATGTTCCCCGCCACCATGGGACAACAGGATGGAGGGCGCCGCGCTGGCGTGTGTACCTTGTGGTGTTGTCCGTGCAGGAGGAAGTGAAGTGTGATGAGGTAGTAGTTATGGGCTGGTGGTTTCATGTGAAAGACAAAGCGATGGATGCAGTACTCCATGAAGGACCACAAGAACCAGCCCATCATAAAGAGCAACAGAAAAGTGTATTTATGGACCAGGACGGAGAAGTCTGGGAACACGGAAATAAAAATGATGAAACAACACAAGTACAATGGTATGGGATTGGTATGATGAGGCCAAAGTAGTGGTCGTGTGTGTGTGGTACCTGAAGTGAAGACTGTAGTGGTCGTGTGTGTGTGTGTGGTACCTGAAGTGAAGACTATCCTGGTTGTGCCTTGAGCCAGTGTCATGTAGCAGGACCAGCTGAGATAAAAAACAATAGGAAGCCACACCACTGGTACCCAGTACCTGCAGCAACACATCAGACCAAAAAAAAACAAAACACATTAGGTTCATTATTTTTGTGACCCGTCAGTCTGGGCCTCAGTTTAACGGCATGGATTTGGGGGCCGTTCCTACCATTGACTTCAAACTAATTTTACATTTTTCTGTTACCTTTAAACTGTTCTTTTTTGTTACCAAACCAAACCAATAACTCTGACCGTTTCTGCACTAAACTGTTCTTGCTTTGAAAATGAAACATTTTCAGTTCCATCTCCTACCAGGAAGTCTTGGTGCTGGCCTCCAGAAAGGGGTTTCCGAACAGTCTGATTGGTCTGTCCACCGGCTGATGAACCCATGCATCATATTTCTCACCGAGGTGGCCCACCTGCCACGCCAGTGGCTTCCTCCAGTCCACTAAATCCTGCGTACACAAGAACCAATTCGCACAAAAATGAAACTTAAAAAAAATAAATAAATAAAAAAGAAATTGTCAAAGCTGCTGACAGGTTTGTCTTTGAACTTTTTGACTTGTTAAAACTCTAAACCAGAGTCCGTCCTGATGAAATGAGTGTGAAAACAAACTTCCACTTTACACCGCCAGGGGGCAGCAGAGCGCCAATAACGGCTGAAGCGAGCAGGTGCAGGTGGATCCAGGAAGTGAGTGAACAGTGAACACACCTGTGTCTCCTGTCGCTGCCATTTGCAGGAGTTTTCAAACAATAACAACCCAAATATTTCAAATCTAAAGATAATAAGTCTAGGTGTAATTTAAAAATATCACTAAAAGACAATTATTGATTACAGGAAATTGCTGTGTAAACTACAGATTTTGTAGAAAAATAAAACACCTGTTTTAAATATTGTCCATCCAGATTACAACATACCAAAGAAAATATAATTTTAGGGAAAATTTAAAAAAAAACGGCCATATACAAGAAACCACGAGTGGCCCCTGAGCCAGATGTTGGATGTTTGAGACTTTAAGGAAACCCTGCATTTTTGGTTTGCATCCCGACTCTTCTTCCGTGACCACCTTAATTTAAAACGGTGCAGGTGAGCGTGTTGTTGTGGCGACAGCGTTTCCCATCAGGCCATGCTGGATAATGGTACCAGGCACAGACTGTCACAGTCACCTGAGGTTGATTATCCAGTCTCAGGCTCATTACAGGTGAACACAGGCTGCCACCCGAGCAATAAAGTGTTCATCACACTCAGCGCTGATTGAGCGACGTGGACCAGAGCGGACCTCACCTCTGCTCCACTTCCACCCCGCGTAGAGTCAAGCTGGGGATTGTTTTAACGACCGCGTTTCCAGCGTAAACATAGTGAGAATAAAGTCAAAGAAATCTGATATTTATTTTTGATCATGTGACATTTGACAGCGCAGCAGATCGGTTTATAAGTTACCCACGGGAGAACCATGCCCTGTGACACCATTCCTCCTCTTTTATCACCGCCGTTCACCCGCAACGCAGTCATAACGATGACCTTTCACGTATTTGATAAGTGATGAGTGGTAAAAATGAATCAGTGAGCCAACAGTCAGAACACCTGATCCTTCAAACTAAATTCAGTTCCAACCAAAGTTCAGGAAGAAATATTTAAACCAGTGTTTCCCAACTTTCTTTGAGCCAAAAATCTGACAAAAAAGTCTCTGTAATGAAATCTAATAATCTTCTAGTTCAAACAACTTCATCATTGACTAAAATCTCCGCCTGTTCAGTTGAAGACGACGCTGACATACTGGCAGGAATTGAAGAAAGACACTCACAAAGATCTTCTTCAACAGCTCTGATTATCTTCTTTTTTTCAGCCATCTGCTGCCACCTAGCAGAAGACTATTTAATTGTTCTACCAAATATACTTTGACGAGCAAAGAAAAATGATATGAAATAAATTATTAATATTTATTATTATTTCATTTATTCAAACAAACAGAAAGGTTAAGTAATTGGCTGTAAATCCAAAGAAAACCAACAGCTCACACTAAGACACCTGTGGTGTCAGAGAACAATTCCCTCCACATGTATCTCCAACACGGCCGTGGTTACTGACGCCAGACCTGACAATGGAGAACACTGATCAATACACAGATGCCTGGCAACTAAGAACGAGATAGACCTGTTGACTCTGTCGTGGCCGTGTATGTGTGTGTGTGTGTGTGTGTGTGCAGGTGGTATTCTGATATATTTGCTGACAGTCCATCTGCTCCATCATATGACTGTGATTTCCATCAGCGAGTGAACCATCGTGTGTTTGTGTGTTTTCTAAAAAAAACGAACCAGGACCAGCTGCTCATTAGTTCAATTTTCTTCGACAACAACCTGAGAGGAAACTATTGTTTCACCAAGTGTTAGTCTGAATACAACGTCCCATTGAAAAGAATAGAAGGAGTAGAATATGAGCTGTGAACACATGAGAATGGACGTTCAGTTCAACACAGAACATGGAAATTCCAGGTAGAATCGTCCAGAGAGATTCAATATTCCGTCGTTCGCCTCAAGACCCAGAGGAAGAGTTGAGAGTAAAAATTAAAATAATTGATTACTGACACTCCCAAGTAATTTCATTACCTTTGTCCAATGAGAATAGCAGTAGGAATGAGAGTATCATGCAGTAAAGGCTGTGTCCATGTGGGGGTACTCTACAAAAGGGGGCGCGGCAGAAAAGTACTGAAGTAACAACACGATGGTACTGACTAACCAGAGTTTGGCTGTTGATGTTCGTGTGAGTGTGAGAACTCGAGCGCCAACACATGAGGTCACCTGAAAGGTGAATAACCCGAGGAACATTCACTCTTTATTTACCCCCAGCCCCGGTGTCACTGCTCCAGACTAACACAGCAGCTTTGAACTGAAAACATCAGTGTCATTCATTCATCTTTAGGGTCACGGCGATGCTGGCGACACTGGAGCCAATCACAGAGCTCATCAGCTGAGGCCGGGGGGGGGGAGGGGGCCTACACCCGGCCCCTGTTCACCAGATCATCATAGTGCAAAGTTCTAGAGGATGTTGGTGTGAAAATAACCAACATGTACATTTTCAGTAGTAGCAGATACTGGTACACAAGCCTAGAGTGCCCCCTAGTGACTGTGAGTGTGAAAATAACCAACATGTGAAATTATATATATTAATATATAAGTCACAAACCCAGCCAAAAGATGAAAAAAAAGTGCGACTTATAATACAGAAAATCCGGTACATATATCGAAATATTGATGTCGATCTGGTTTTATTAAGTATTTATTTATTTTTAATAAAGTACTTTTTAAATAAAAATTTTCTACAGGTATCTTATATGGAACTACTGGATATTGAGTCTGATTTCAAAATAAAAAAAATTTTGGGTGGGGGGGTTGTATGAGATCTGTGTCTTTTATCTGATTTCAAAATAAACATTTTTTTGGGCGGGGGGTTGTATGAGATCTGTGTCTTTTTGCATTTGTAAATATGTTTTAATTTGTGTCCTTTAAAGTAGGACGAGGAAATTTATATCAAAAATGTATTTTACAAAAGTTCTTTTTTTTTTTACGAGGAACCAAACCCTGTGTAGACGCACGTACCGTTTCCAGGTCTACGGGGCTGCAGAGGTTGTAGGGGGAGTCCTCCTCTTCCTCCTCTTCCTCCTCCACGGCCTGTGACCCTGTCGTCTTTCCTTCCGTCTGTTCAGCCGTCTGTCTCCTCCTTTCTCTCAGAGTCTGGAAAAAAAAATAATAATAAATGGCCACAGTAAACATAAGCAGGTTTTCGTGGTGATGGTTATGACTTCCTACTGTAGTCACGCGTGATGTTGTTGTTGTGATGTTTTATTGTATTTGTTTTGATCTGAGAACTTTTCCGTTTCAAAGGTTAATCAGGTTTTTTATGTGCGTGTATATGTTTGCTTGATGTTCTTTTATTTGTAATTTACAATCTTTAACCTTTGAACACATCCGCATTCAAACATGCAAATGCTCTGTCTGTGACAGCATTACAGCAAAATTTCCTCTTGGTCGGTTTTCAACCTGAGCTTTGAGTCTGTTCTGTTTAACAGACGTGGATGGAAGTAAAATTTAAAGGAAAAAAAATACAAACGTGATCCTCTCACTTTTCCACTAAATTAATAACTGGCCCATTTGACTTAAAATTCTATACAAAACCATTCAGGTAATTCCAAATATCTAATAAAATAGCATAGCTTAGCATGTGCTAATCCAAGTTTCTGCAGTGCCTCCTTTTCTAGGTTGTCAGCAACCTTCAATCACTTCATTTATGATCCTCAGAACCTGCTATCCTAATTGGACAAGGAAGATAATCTTACATCCCGTAACAGCCCTGGGACGCGCCCCACACTTTTGGAACAGTTGTATGAGATGTACTGTAAATGCACACCAGGTTATTCTGACCAACTTTAACAACTCGGAAACTTTGGAAATAAAAACCATAATTCTACAGAAAACCAGTGCAGAGTCAGGGCGGAAAAAACGTTCACGTGAATCGAGTCAATCATTCATCGTTGACATTTAAGGGTTGTTTTTTTTTATACGACTTGAGAACAGTGCAGATAATATAACACCGTCCAAATGAGTTCACACGGTCAAAAATGACCTTCAACACAACAACGTGACTGATGAGTGTAAGGATAAGGTGCAACTTCCACCGACTGCTGTTCTTATCAGGCGTCTTTAAGGACGTCCAGGATAAAAGTGGGAAAAAAAGATGAAATATATGATGGATAAAGAGTGGAAGACAAGAAGAAGAAGAAAAAAAAAAGGGTCCAACACAATTTGTGGGTCAAACACAATTTGTTAATGATTTGTTTCATATTTCAACTTTGTTTGTCTCTGAGGGTTTTGATGAGTGTATCATTTTGAAGTTAAACATTAAGCAAAAAGACGACAATAAAGTTAAGGAAAAAAACAACATTACAGTATGTGCTACTGTGAGGGAGGGTTCGAGGTTCGAGGAGACAATAACAGTGAATCTGCTTCTCTTCTTTTTTCACTCCCCCCAAACACCCGAGCACGTGCACAGACATAAGTGTTAACGCTTGAGGTTCAAGTCAAAAATTAAGCACAACTTCCTGTTTCACTCTTCAATAAAAATAATGACCGAAACAAAAATCACTGTCCGACAGTCGCATGTCTAACCTTTTGAAAACTCCACTAATATATACATCGAACGTGCATGAGCATCGTTAGCCTTCAGCTAACACTACAACACACGTGACCTTTGACCAGCAGCAACAAAGTTGCCTTGATGTTTATCTCTGTAAGTGTCACTGCTCTAACGCAGCTTATTATTAACCAATTTCAAAAATCGGCCGGGCGCAGTACCTCTGTGTATTTTTTAATAAAGTAAAAATACTAAGTAAAGTAAGACTGCCCTAGATAATATTCTTTATCAGTGGTTCACAAACTATGGTGCACATATCATTGGTGTACTTGGGCTCCCTCTAGCGGTACACAGGAGAATTCTGGATTCAGAATTTTCTCTGTTAGTAAAAACACTGCAACTGTTGCTCCCAAGTCGCAGTAACCAGCTAGACTGCCCTCTAGTACACTGCAACTGTTGCTCCCAAGTACAAGGCGCAGTAACCAGCTAGACTGCCCTCTAGTGGCTGTCAGTGTGAAGTCGCAAACCTAGCCAAAGGACGGAAAAAATGAGCGACTTATAGTCTGAAAAATACGGTATTTGTTTTGTATGAGAGATTAGTTGACCATAATCTGTTAGTGACCAAACGCTCAAACACAATCGCCATTATTTGACGTTAAACTGGGCTGCTCATGCCCAGATGTGGGCAGCGCACCAACGGATGAACGGGATCATGCAGGTTTGCCATTAGAACATCATCAACAGGCAAAAACTGTGACGTCACTTCCCCAGAATTTCCTTAATCCAGAGATTTGAAATACATGCTGGTGGTGACACATGACCTAGATTAGCATGCAAACAAAGCAAACACACACACAGTGAAAGCACCAAGCAGACACACCCTCATGTCGAAGCCTCAGTCATGGCCTACGTGAGCTGTGGATGTTATTTCTGAATCTGAAGTTAAAGATTACTCTCTCTCTCTCTGTCTCTCTCTGTCTCTCTACCAGGTCAATACATTCTCCAGGTGTGGTTTGTATTTGAGGAGGCCTGGTCGTATCAACAGAGTCAACTTCTAACATGTTTGTCATTGAATCAGATAAAGAAGCTCAGAATTATTTGGACAGGTGACGGATCTGGAATCCTGTTTTTGGGGGACTCGCAAACAAGGACTTTTATCAGAAATGTGGGCATTTTTGATCAATTTTATTTTCGTTTCTAAGTAGTTTAAGTTTGGAAACATTAAGCAAATGAATGTTTCAAAAAGCCTCACGATTGAGACTGGGTTTTTTTTTTTTTTTTTGGGCCGGTGATACTTATACTCTGGAGCAAATTATTAAAATACGGGAAGTGTTTCAATGATGGCCATTGTTAATGTGCTCTTTGAGGTTCGGCCTTTTTCTGACATGGATGTTTATCAAGTCCAGGGTTTTGGAAAGATTTGCATAAATGGTGTATAGCCAGTCAAACGGCATAGCTTAGCACAAGCTAACCTTCATGGGTTTAGAAGAAACGACTTCGACTGAAACTGTCCTGGTGCTGGTTAAACAGTCTCCACACAAATATGTACAAACTTCTACATATCGCAATTCTGTCAATTTTTAAATGAGGACAAAGCAAACACACACACAGTCTCTCTCTCTCTCACACACACACACTCTTACAAACTGCCCTGTGCGGAGCCCTAACACAGCTCCTCCTGCCCAGCTGAGCTCTATCCTCAGTGGAGCTGACAATGGAAGGAAAGATAAATAAGATGTAATCATAGCTCACATTAAATTATCACAACAACGCAGCGGAAAAAGTACGCCTGTGATTGGTCCTTTAAAACAGCCCCAGACATCGTACATTTAACAGTTTTACTATTGAAAGGCGGACCTAACGTTTATCTTTGTTTACATGTAAACATAAACTACTTCTGGATTTCAACGCAGAGCTGTTATTGTTTACTGATGGTTTTCGTTATAAGAGATGAAGAAACCAGGTCAAAGTCTTTTGTAGACGATCATCTGCCAACACTACACCAATGCAGGCAGATACTACACAAGACACTATGACCACTAGTTGGCAGTAATGTAACAAAAACATGCAAACTGCCATGAGAACCTGAAGAAGAAGAAACACTGACCACAGTCACGTTCACATATTACCGTATTCTCCGGATTATGAGTCGCTCCGGAGGATAAGACGCACCAGTGCCCTCTAGTGGCTGTCAGTGTGAAAATAACAAACCTGTGAAATTATAGAATTTAATATATAAGTCGCAAACCCAGCTGAAGGACGGAAAAAAAAAATGTGCGAAAAATAGTCTGAAAAATACGGTAAAACATCCAACTGAACTTATTCAGGCCGTGTCCTCCATCTTCAACATCCAACACATCACCTGGTCACACGTTCAGACCATCGCCATCTTAGCTTAGCTCAGTTTCCAACAGAGGAAACATCGTGTTCCGCGCAGGTTCATGGAAGAGGAACAAGAAGACGGCTGACTGTCATGAGCTTCGACGATGTTTGAAAGAGAAAACAGAACTCCACCTCAGTTCTGTTTTCTCCACAGTACGTCAGCTGATTATTGCCACACACACACCGTGTAATTTCCCTAGCCTGGGGTGAACAGAGTGCATCTGGGTAAAACTGAATCCTCGAGGTGACGGAAACCACAGAGAAGGAATCGAGACAGATATAAAGACAAACAGAAGTCATGATCAGGGGGATGTCCCCGTCCGTCAACTGGGAGAACGTAAGGAAATAAATGTCCATTAGGTACATCACCTTAATGCGACCAATCAAACGGCACAAGTTCAAATCATTACGGTAGATCATTATTGACAACATTATTACATAACGTAAAAACAACGATGAGAAAATAAGGTGTGATTTTAATGGATGTCATTTAGCGCCATAAAACGTCAAAAGTTATTCATTTGATATCTACACAAAGAAACAGTTATCAATGTGGGGAAAGTGGGTATGGCAGTTGCCTCACATCAAGAAAATAATGGGTTTGATTCCCAGTCATTCTTAATGGTAGGTAACCAGACTGGTGCGAAAGAAATAGTAGAAATAAATAACATAAAGTTGTGTGTAAAAACATTTCTGTCCCCAAGGGGGGGTGCAGGACAGAAAACAACTGAGAACCACTGGTCCAAACAAAGATAAAGATCACCACCGCGGTCTGACGGTGCTGCAGCGTCACACAGGTGAGCGTTGCTGTGACGACACACAAACAGTGTCCAACAAAGTCCACGCCTCTCCGATCTCTGACTCACACCACGTCCACATCGCCGCTCCGTCTGCCCCGCTGCTACACAGCTAGGCTAATTCCAAATCCAGAACGTTGAAAGGCAAACAATCAGAGTGGAATTAGCTAATGGTTAGGTAAACGCTGAGAGCACGAGGGCGGTTTTCATTAACTCACTGTTGGCCGTCATCTGTGTTCCTCCCCAGACAATGAATGGTGTCATTACTGTTGACATTACCACTGTGACCATCGACGCTTACAGTACAGGGTGCTTTTAAAAAAAAGTACTGTCAATTGGGATCCAAATGTTCCGAGACGAGTTCTGGTACTAAATCAAGCCTCGTGTTGGAACAACTTTCATAATTCCACTCAGAAAATGTAAAT